ATGGCATATATATACTGCATGTGCATATGTACTGTATGTGCATATACGTGTACTGTATGTGCATTTGTATGTACTGTGTGTGCATATATACTGCATGTGCATATGTACTGTATGTGCATATATACTGCATGTGCATATGTACTGTATGTGCATATATACACATGCATATGTACTGTATGTGCATATATACTGCATGTGCATATGTACTGCATTTGCATATGTATTGTATGTGCAGTTGTATGTACTGGATGTGCATATATACTGCATGTGCATATGTACTGTATGTGCATATACATGTACTGTATGTGCATTTGTATGTACTGTATGTGCATATATACTGCATTTGCATATGCATTGTATGTGCATTTGTATGTACTGTATGTGCATATATACTGCATGTGCATATGTACTGTATGTGCATACATACTGCATGTGCATATGTACTGCATGTGCATATGTACTGTATGTGCATACATACTGCATGTGCATATGTACTGCATGTGCATATGTACCGTATGTGCATATGTATTGAATGTGCATATGCAATGTATGGGCATATGTATACATGTGACATATGCAATGTATGGGCATATGTATACATGTGACATATGCAATGTATGGGCATATGTATACATGTGACATATGCAATGTATACATGTGACATATGCATGTGTACATGTGCATATGTATGTATGCTTATGTACACTTCAAAAATTAGAGGTTATGAAACACACAAAAATTTTCAATCGTATTCTGAGAAACACTAATACTGAAAGTTTCCAGCCGAGCCAAAAAGGCTTTCTGTGGTTATCATACAGAATCTAACAATTTCAAGTTTTTTTTATTAACTATATTAGTAAATTGGCATATCAGCACCTACAGACCCTAAATTTATAGGGTACTATTATTCTTATAAAAAATGTATCAGCATTAAAGGATTGCAGTTGATCAGAAGTAGTATTCTCCAGTTTTTGAATAGAAATCAGAATCATATTTTATTAAAAGTGGGACTTACACAACCCAATAACAACTCAAGCCTTCCACTGACCAAAACACACCCATGCTAAAAGTTTGAAGCTGACCATAAGAGGGATTCTCCAATTATTGCATGGCATCCATCAATTCAAAGTTTTTCAACTAATGTTAGTATATTAGCAAATTTGTACTTACACTACACAGCATAATTTAATTGAGTATCTTGCCGCTGAGTGGTTTTCCACTATTAACTTCTCAGTTACCTGGCTCTGCCATGTTGATGATATACTCTAAACTCCTTGAAGATCTGACATCCCTATACCCCAATGCAAGCTCAACCAGTATGAGCCACTCTATCCAATTCATGCTCAAAGAGAAAGTCAACAGCACTTTCCCTGTCCTACTCTGAAAGTCAGACTATGAATTACGTTCCTACCCACCAACACGATCTTCTCCACTGCTACCCATACCATGACACGAAGACTATACATGGCGTCATCACAGGCTTCTTCCATGTAATGAATTCCCTGAAGAAGAAAGCTATCCCTAAACAAGTCTTTTCTAAACTTCACAAGCTACTTTGTCTCATCAGAGATTGCTGATGCTATGCACATAACATCAACTCACCTAGACAAGATACCATAAAAAGAAGATGCTGAAACCTTTCTCACACCTTTATTGTCAAACTTGTCTGCAATAATCTTTCCAACATGAAATTCCAAATACCCACCACTATCTCCACAACAACTGAGGACTTTTCACCTCCCTATGCTCCCTACATATAGACTCATCTTTCCTCTCCAGATTTATGTTTGTGACTTGACAAAGTCCACTGTATAGGTGAAATATTGCCAATAAAGGATCGTGTTATATTGAACTGGGGAAACATGGCATCATGAATACAGACATAATAGAAATATGTAATTTTAATAAAATGATGTTACTAAACTGATATGAAAAATTAGCTAATACAGTGGTACCTCAGCATACATCCACTTTGGAATAAGTCCAACTAGGTATACGTCCTGTTTGGACGCGAAAATTTTTGCTTGGTATACGACCTTTGTTTGGAATACGACTCGCGTCCTAGAACTTGTATGGGTCAAAATGAGTCACGACACTGCACGCTACCCTTGTTTACCTCTCACTAGTGACCTGCCCACTAGTGACCACTGAAGAGCTGCAGGAACTTGAGGAGGAGCACACGACTAAGATGGATGCACTCTCTTCAGGCTCAGAAGAGGAGATAGAGGAAGCCCCTCATTCATTAATCAAGGAAATCTTTGCCAAATGGATGGACGTACCACCCCGACAAAGGCCAAACAAGCCGTCATAGCATTGTCTGGAACGAGCAGACAATGTCACATTTCTGAAACATCCTGAGAAGGCAGAAGCAAAGTTCTTTGGACAGATTTTTAGTAAAAGTCAAACTTGTTGAGCTTCAACCAGGTCCAAATAGGAAAAAGAGACAGAAAAGAGAAGGGGACTCTCCTTCCAAACAATATTATTTCCTCCTCCTCCCTTCTCGGCACTATCCTAGTAGGCACTCGACTCTTTTCAGCAAAGTAAAATGAGGTTAAATTTGCATTTATTTCATCTTATTCTTTTGTATTTATGTATGTATTTTAGTATTAAGCAGTGTTTAAATTACATATTTCAGTATTAAGCAGTGTTTAAAATATGTATTTTATACAACCCCATCAATGTATAATATGCCAATAACAATAGGATTTCTTTCATGGGAACGGATTAATAATTTTCCCTGTATTTCTTATGGGAAAATTTGTTTGGTATACACTGTTTGGTATAAGTCCAAGGTCCTGGAACAGATTAAGGATGTCTACCAAGGTACCACTGTACTTTATACGTTATATATTATACAAAATATTTATACTATACCTAACAATTAAAGTTATTTATAAAGGAGGAGTTGTAACATTTGTCATAAATATGTTTTTCTTATATTTAGTGCAACATACATTGCTAAATTCAAATGCTAGCTTACCTTTTACTACATTAGCTGCCACTATTATCACTGAAGTCGAGTCATTACATCTTCAGCATCACAAGTTGAGAATATCTTCTGTGTTACAAAATCCTCTGCTTATATGCTAGTGAGCTACAGTGATAATTTATCCTCTTAATAATACAAATGGATTACAGATGCATGATTAAGGTTCACTTGGTCATTCTGATTATACAGCAAAACACTTTATGGAAATGGGAAGTGGGCTGACATTAAGAGAACATCACCCAGTGAATACTGTATGAAGTACAACTGTTGAATAATCTCATTGCTTACACAAAATTGTCACTAAAACATGTCACTAAAAGAGTATCAGCATAATATTTAAAAGTGTTGGGTAACTAATGAACAAATTTAGTAGGTTAATTGTAGCAATGATTTTTTTTCCCTATTTTGGGGTCCTTATTTATGTTGAACAGAAGAATGTTTTATGGAGAGATGGGGGTGAAGATGGATATGCTCTAACATACACAGTAGTAAGAAAGTCAATGACAGAGAATTTTATACAATATTATGACCAGATAGAAGTACCAAGTTGCTCAATAACTAATGAATAAACCCTGTATGAACTCAATTATTATATAACAAAGATATTCTGAAATAAGATCAAACTGAAAACATTTATCATCCAGTTAAACTGCATGGCTTGTATGTAAAATCTGTCTCCAAATTAAATATTACATGATCTGCATATCTAACTAAAAAATGCAAACTTTGAAAATAATGAATAATAAACTATTACATACAATAAGTAGTCATTAACTGTAATTATACCAAAGTACAGTGTCTCTCATATGGATTATAATATAGCCACAATATCATGGGTGAAACAATTCACAACTGACCCACAAATTGTAGCCCAAACTAGAAGTTTCAGTCTACTGTGGACCATTATCAAGTCACTACTTAATACTGGCCCAGGACGCTCTAAAACATTATCCATTTTCATCTAAAAATTTTGAGTTAGATGTAAAACTATGAAGGCAAAACAGTGTCAGAGCCTGTCCTCCATAGAGACATGAAATCTCAAAACACCTCTAACCACTACCACCTCGCAAAAACGTCTTCTATCTACAGCTATTTCACAACGCCAAAGGTGACATACACCTTTGTTGCTACCATTTATCCCAGTATGGGCAGAACACATTAAGTTATCCCTTAAATGTAATGAATTCCCATGTAATGCTACTTGTGTTCAGCCCGCCTCTTTACAACCATGATAATGAATTGCGTAAGACTTGGCACAGCTATTGAGACAGTAATATAAAAGTTAGGCTATGCAGCATATACTCTATGTGTGAACACAACATATGACATTTAAAATAAAATTAATGCCAACTCCACATACAGAGGCTATTAGAATAAATTCCACTGGTGGTATTCACAAGCTTCAGTCTCAACACTACCTCCTTGTAAAAAACACTAAGATCTAATTTAATCAACATAAAACTGCAACTATAAACTTCTGGAATTTTGCAGCATTTAAAAATTCCCCTACTGCTAACTTGCCCTCCTGAGGAATGAATATTCCCACAAATAAACAAATGATATATTATTTAAGAAAAAAAAAAATTGTTTCCATAAATTAAGTGATGCATTATGCTCATATAAAGAATTTCTGTTTTAATTCAAAGGGATGAGGGGTTGCTGAGGTGGTGGTTTAGCCATTTAGTGGATGGAGAGGTGTAAGACAACAAAAATGGTGAATAAATCTGGAGTGGAAAGTAGTAGGGGTCATGTGAGGAACATTTCGAAGGAAGGGCACAAACGCTTTAAAATTTAGGGACTTGAGCATCCAGGAGGCTTGTTTGAGCAAGCAGATAGGAATGAATGGAGACAAGAGGTTTTAAATGAAAACCTAATGACCCATTTGTGTTTCTAATCTAGCTTTTTTTCTAGTCTGTCCTACTTAAAATTAATCACAATATATACATGGAATCATATAAAAAATAATAAACTTTCTCTGGGGAATTCTTAATCAAAAAGTTTATATACCAAGATTTTTAAATTAACTAATTTAAAAAAATTGTGTAGAGGAGTATAATTTTAAAGTAATTTACCGATGAGGCAGTAGCAACATACTTTTGGTAGTACACGGTCCCTTATCTTCTGTATTGCAAAATATATTCTTTGCAATTCTCTAAGATTTATCAATGAAAGTGTACAAATAACTTTAAATAGTCATCAAAACAACATGCAAGTACAGTACTACCATCGTATCCGTGGGTCTGGTTTCTGCAGTTTCAGTCATCCGCAGTTTACTCCGGCCCAAAAATAACCCTTAACCCGTAAATGGTCCAAACGTATATATATGTTTTTATCACTAGTGCCCCAAACGTATATATGTTTTTTTTTTGTCATACATTCAACATTGCCACGATAAACCTGAGTCGCCTAGACATGAGAGAATGGGTGTGTGCACTCACTGTGCACCATATTAAAATAATTGGGGATGCCTGGGTACCATATGCTCTTTTTTCCTATTAAAAAACAATTTTTTTTCCCTCAAAAAAGTTGGGGCACTACGGGAGAGAACGTATGTATACATTTGGACCATTTACGGGTTAATTATACTCAATAATGGCACCAAAATTCCAAAAGTAGTGATGATGGCAGTTCTTCAAAGCCTAAGAGAAGTCATGAAGTGCTTCCTATCGTTGAAAAACTGCTAATTCTCCACTATATACATAGATTAGGTGATGAAAGATTGTCTATCAGATTGGAGGGAGAGAGTATGGAGGAGGTGAATGTATTCAGATATTTGGGAGTGGACGTGTCAGCGGATGGGTCTATGAAAGATGAGGTGAACCATAGAATTGATGAGGAAAAAAGGGTGAGTGGTGCACTTAGGAGTCTGTGGAGACAAAGAACTTTGTCCTTGGAGGCAAAGAGGGGAATGTATGAGAGTATAGTTTTACCAACGCTCTTATATGGGTGTGAAGCATGGGTGATGAATGTTGCAGCGAGGAGTAGGCTGGAGGCAGTGGAGATGTCATGTCTGAGGGCAATGTGTGGTGTGAATATAATGCAGAGAATTCGTAGTTTGGAAGTTAGGAGGAGGTGCGGGATTACCAAAACTGTTGTCCAGAGGGCTGAGGAAGGCTTGTTGAGGTGGTTCGGACATGTAGAGAGAATGGAGCGAAACAGAGTGACTTCAAGAGTGTATCAGTCTGTAGTGGAAGGAAGGCAGGGTAGGGGTCGGCCTAGGAAAGGTTGGAGGGAGGGGGTAAAGGAGGTTTTGTGTGCGAGGGGCTTGGACTTCCAGCAGGCATGCGTGAGCGTGTTTGATAGGAGTGGATGGAGACAAATGGTTTTTAATACATGACGTGCTGTTGGAGTGTGAGCAAAGTAACATTTATGAAGGGGTTCAGGGAAACCAGCAGGCCGGACTTGAGTCCTGGAGATGGGAAGTACAGTGCCTGCACTCTGAAGGAGGAGTGTTAATGTTGCAGTTTAAAAACTGTAGTGTAAAGCACCCTTCTGGCAAGACAGTGATGGAGTGAATGATGGTGAAAGTTTTTCTTTTTCGGGCCACCCTGCCTTGGTGGGAATCGGCCAGTGTGATAATAAAAAAAAAAATAATACATATCAATTAGATATCTGTAGGTACAGGAACAGAATTATTCTCTTAGTATACCATCTTCATTGATTAATTTGTTTTGAGATAATTTTTTTTTAACACACTGACCATCTTCCACCAATGGAGGGTGACCCAAAAAAGAAGAAACACTTTCCCCATCACTTATTCCATCACCATCTTGACAGAGGTACACTAACATTACAGCTCAGATGACCCTCCAAACTGTCATATCCCCATCCCTCCTTCAGAATGTAGGCACTGTACAGTGGTACCCCAAGTTTCAAACTTTCTTCATTCCAGAAGGCTGTTCGAGTGCCGTTACCAAACGAATTTGTTCCCATAAGGAATAATGTAAATTAGATTAGTCTGTTTCAGACCCCCAAAAATACACTTACAAAAGCACTTACATAACTGGTCGAGTTGGGAGCAGTTCGAAACTCAGGGTACCACTGTACTTCCCATTTTAGGACTCAAGCCCAGCTAACCGGTTTCTCTACATCCCTTCATAAGTGTTCCTTGCTGACACTCAGCCTGTGAAGTCATAAAAACCACTCGTCTCCACTCACACCTAACACGCTCGCAAAATCTACTTTATCCTCTCTCCCTCTCCAACCTTTCCTACAACAACCTCAACCCCATATTCCCTCCATAACAGATTTACACACACTGCACTTCATCCTATTTTGCTCCATCCTCTCTAAATATCCAAACTACCTCAACAATCTCTCTTCAGCCCTCAGGATAATACTTTTAGTAGCCCAACACCTTCTAATTTCCAAGCTGCGGATTCTCTGCATAATATTCACACCACACATTGCCCTCAGACACGACATCTCCACTACCTCCAGCCTTCTCCTTGTTGCAACATTCACAACCCATGCTTCACACCCACATAAGAGCGTTGGTACCACAATACTCTCACACATTCTCCTCTTTGCTTCCAAGGATAACATTCTTTGTCTTCACAGACTCCTCAATGCACCACTCGCCTTTTTCCCATCACATTTTTATATAGAGGGTCAGCCCATAAACCGTTGCCTGCGTGAACCTGCTAGTGAAAATAGAGAACTATTCTTTCTAGTAACTTGATGGCAACCAGATGAGCCCAGGAGTCAATCAAATCTGAGTTTGATCCCAATGCTTGTTATGACCAGGGATGTATTAAAATACTGACAAGTATGTCAAATTTCAATCATGAGACTCAATAAATGTGTGGCCTCTGAAAGATCTCCTTCTGACCTTAGTCAATAAAGACCAGCTGGCTCATTTGAGCTGGTCACCACTTAACTTCAAATGTACCACTCTTCTCACATCAAAAAATATTTTTATGTACCACTGGACTTCAGCTGCAGAGGTACAGAAGACTAGGTGGTGCTCTAAGTCTGTCTTCTCAGCAGTGGCCTTCCTGGCAATTATGACACACAGTGCTATGAGAGATTGCAAGCCTCTCACTATGAAAATGTGGTTAAGTGATGGTGCCACTATGGCAGTATTAGTGTTAGGGACATTGACAATCTTATAACCTGAAAGTGATCACAAGCCTATGCCGTAGACACAGTACATGCTAGTGCTCATCCTGGATTAGGTTATGTAGATAAATGTATATAAAGTTCAATGTAACACTGCTGTGTCAGGCTCTATTAGACAATAGTAAATGACTCAGTTTGAGTTCCTCAGAGATACACAGGTCCTAGCATCTAGACCCTTAGAGACAGATCATGTGCTCACTCATTATTAAAATAATTTTTAACTTTTCAGTATTGAAGTTTTTAAACAGCTGCAATATAAACGGTTTCATTAAAGGGTTAAGTGACCATAAATTACAATACTATATGTAAAATTATACAATAGAATAGTTAGCTATATAGAACCTTGTGAATACCAAACCATACTAATATGACCTTGCTTTGATGTTACCAAGCAGCCTCAAGGAGTCCAAAATATAATTAAAATAAAATTATGAGTACTCAAGCAATACAAATTTTTTTAATAAACTTCTTCAGTGTTAGAACTGAGGATCAAGGGCATCACTGTAAGTCCTTGAGAAACTTGGTACACCTATTCCATAAACTAAGTCAGAAATGGAGAGAGGGTGATGTAGAAGACAGATTCACTCCATATTACTTAAAATAAGTGCCATTTGACCAATAAATAGAAAAACTTGTGCTCAAAATTTTGGACCCCAGAATTTTGATCATTCCATTTTTTATTTGTGAAGGCTTCTAGACAAAAACCTTTGCACTGTAATATCATATAACACTATGTACACTGCAACTGAAGACAATATATTTTCAATAAAAATGTGAACACTGTATACTTCAAAGATTGGTGCCAGTGCTAAAAATTAATAATCTGTGAGGTGCACTGCATAATACTGCTACCAAACAAGTGTAGTGAAAATGCAAATGCAGAAAAAAAGGTTAAGTTACACACTCCTTTATGAAAATGCCGTGCAACAAGGTGAAGATATACAGATTAATGTATTTTTATATATTAATCCATATTAAAAACAATGAATTAACTTATATTACAGACTTTCAAATGTCTGTATGAATGGTAATGGTACTGGTAATATTTTAAGGGTATAAGAAAATAATACAAGACTGTGAGCACCTTGGAGTTGAAAAAGAAATTTTAAGTTATATCATTTTAAATCTATGACACAGAAAAGTAATATTAAAAATACATATAATCTTTACTCAACATTAAATTATGAAAGGTAATACTTATTGATATCTGAGAAAGCAGTAGGACATCACTACAATAAATAAAATGCTAACTGAACACTAACCATGAATTAGTATAAAGTAAATCTGATATATCCAAGCATTACCTCATAATATCAATTAATTCCTTTCAGATAAATTTAATATATGACTATTATGCCTAACTTCAATCTTGTATGACTCTTAGTAAGTAAGTATGTATGTATGTATGTATGTATGTATGTATGTATGTATGTATGTATGTATGTATGTATGTATGTATGTATGCATGCATGCATGCATGCATGCATGCATGCATGCATGCATGTATGCATGCATGCATGCATGCATGCATGCATGCATGTATGCATGTGTATATATATATCTATATATAAATATATATATATATACATACAATAATGATAACACTTAACTTTCACAAATGACTAAGATGTTCCATCAGGTGAACTATGAGCTTAACAACTTTCCCACTTTTTGACCTTGGCATTGTAGAGATTATTCAATAAGAAACACAGGGCTTATAACAACAATAATCAACACAAAAAGAACTGAAGACTTGTCACAACAACAAACAAAGGTTCCCCAGAGAACATATTTACAGAATGCCAAGAAAGGAAGAATACTATGAGATCTGCTAGGAATAAGCCTCCTGTCTGCAATGATAGTCAAACAAGGAAGGAAGAATAAGTAACCACAATATAATTATTAAGTGGGATGTTTGTAGTAACGAACAGGTTGATCAGTCATTCAACCCACAAGTCTGGCCTCAGGCCAGGCTGTAAGGGTAGAATAACCCTCAGAACTGATCACAGTTATGTCAGTATAATACATACTAAAAATACTCTTACTAAGAGCTAGATGAAGTTCCTATTTTTTCTATTGTATAAAGTGAACAGGGAAAGAAAAATTTATACCTGCAGTTCTCTGACCAACTGTAAGTATATTTAACCCAACAAAATCTTTAATTTTGTCTTTATCGTATTTCACATTCAAATTGGGCAATACTCACCAATAATCAAACCATAAAGTGACCAAACCATCTTAAAAGTAAAACAAAAGAGAAATACGTAGGAGTTGAACATAAGATTATTAAATGCTTAAACCTAAAATAATAATCATTATATCTTCACCTATTATTAGCACATTGATATCTAGCTAATGACCCATCCATGGAAAACACATCCTCTAAGATTCAATACATAAACTAGTTTAAAATAAAATATTCTAAATATCCTTAAGTATCAGTTCTAACAAGAATAGAATAACCTCCATTAAACCCTACTGATGCTTGAATCTTGATACTTTATCACCTTTAATGCCTCAAATGAGTATTTTAATCTTTCACTACACAGCAAAACCATTACTGAAGGCATTTAACACCTTCAACTCATTGGCAGTAATTTTTTTTTGCTATATATATATTAGGATCATTTCTAATAAAAAAAAAAGAGTGAGTGCAACATACTTTCATAATCCTTGTTAATCATTTAATTCCATCCCAAAACTTACTCTAAACAATTCAGAGCATGAACCTATAGTGCAATCCTTAATTATTTTGTGCCACATATTCTGAAATTATAACACAATCATGTAGACTCAGAATACATGTTAAAACTCATGTCCACTGACATGGTCTGCCTCAATTGGAACTTAATTTTATCCCACAGGGTTTACTAATGAAGTTATAATGGTTCTAACAAGACTCAAGAACCATTATATAGTAGCAACCATTACCTTAAAACAGGTATACATTACCAGTGACATAGTCACTGAAGATTATCTTAGGCACCATATTTAGAAAAACTCAAGAAATGTTTTTTTTTTTGGGTATCAAAATACGGAATTTCATCCAATATGGACAGTTTCTGAAATATAAATTGCATATTCAGGAAAAAAATTGTGAGCTTCTCAAGTGACTAGATTTTTAAAGCCATATATTGGAAAACTACAAATGTGTTTCTAAGAACTGTAACACACTTCTCATCTCTTAGTAAACAAAATAAAATTAACTTTATACAAAAGAAATATATCACTATGGCCATTATAACCTATGTATAAGCTTTCACCCAAGTCTTTAATATTATTTCTAAGAATCTGTTTATTCTTTTAAGCTTCAACTATGACTTACAGAAACATCATTTTCTCAGTGATTTGTTAGCCATGAATGTGAGAGACTGACATGCTGCTGATTGTCTTATGACTTCAGTCTGAAGACCTCATCTAGTATAAGACATCAAACAGTAGTAGGTCATAATTTCTTTAAAAATCCTTCTCTTGCTTTATAAATGAGGTTCATAAAAACTTTACAATAAAGGACTCAAAAACAACTGGCTGCATGTGTGTCTTTAATATCACACCAACAACACTTATACACTTGCTAAATATAATATATATTTCTATGTATGCATACTGCTCAAATACAATGTATTCATAAAATGCTAAACCTCAAACACTGGAAAATTTTGCAGCTGGAGTGCACCATCACTGCTATCCAAGACAGTTGGAGTGTACCATCACTGATATCAAAGACAGCTGGGATGTACCATCACTGCTATCCGAGACAATTGGAGTGTACCATCACTGCTCTCTGATACAGTTGGAGCATACCATAAATGCTATCCGAGACAGTTGGAGTGTACCATACTGCTCTCTGATACAGTTGGAGTGTACCATCACTGCTATCTGAGGCAGTTGGAGTGTACCATCACTGCTATCTGAGGCAGTTGGAGTGTACCATCACTGCTATCTGAGGCAGTTGGAGTGTACCATCACTGCTCTCTGAGACAGCTGGAGTATACCATCACTGCTATCTGAGATAATTGGGGTGTACCATCACTGCTCTCTGATACAGTTGGAGTGTACCATCACTGCTATCTGAGACAGCTGGAATATATCATCACTGCTATCTGAGACAATGAAATTTTCATATTGTCACTAGAAATGTTAATGGCAATAGTAACAGAGAAGCTGTTGCTCTATAGCATTTTTAAGTTCTTTGTGATAAAACTTCAGCCTTAATAACAGTAAAAACATGAGGAAGCTTTACAGAACTAACCTATTGTTATAGTATTACTCTACTATAATTATCAACACAAGACAACTGGGTTATTGTTATTGCAGCATGTAAATAATGACCATTTTCTGAAGTAGGCATTTGGTTGTAAGGTGCACAATACACCACCTTAGTGTGAACATTGATGTGACTGACTTATTTCTATCTTTTAGAAAACACGTCTCTATAGCATTACAAATAATTAAATTACATAAAAGTTATTTCCAGTTTTCCTTGCCTCCCGAAAAACAGCACAGCAGCAGCAGCCAGTTGTAACACAAGGACAGTATAATAATTATAATGAGCCATGGCAGAAACACAGCAACTACAGCAACAAATTAAGACTGAGAAGCATAATCTCGACTCCTCCAAAGTTGCAAGATGTTTTCAAAAACATGTTTTGCTTTGAATGTAGAAAATACAATATAATCAACACTTGCCCCTATTTGCTGGATCTACAGATTAAAATGGTATCAACAGTATTCTACAGCTATGACTATCTGCCCAAAGATGGTTTAAGTTCTTAAAAATCATGAATAACAGTAGATTAACAAATCTATATTAATATCTCCAGCAAGAAAGGTGCTCAGCATGGCATGGTTATTAGCCTATTGCCCCATAAATCATAAAAAGTACACACATCTTGAAGTAACACATAATTTACAGGACAATACCAGCTACACAACCATCATCAAACTGGCACCAACCATACCCATATACGAGGGTCAATGGCAACATAAATTATGGCAAGTGCTCTTATCAAGTGTTCCTCTTAAAGCGTTTGCGACAGATAATGTTATGAAAATTCCCTCAAATGGGTGACTTTCCACATGTAAACCTCCTAAAGAAATATCATCCAATAGAGAGGACTTCATAACACTAATTGTTCCATATATACAATCAAGGTACATATACAGGTTGTGTGTTCATCAAACTATAATTTGGATCACTATACAATATCAATATGTAATATTTTAAATTCTGCTTCTCTCTAGGTACATGAAATACAGCCAAATAATAACAGGTGGCAGCACAATGACAGCAGGGATGCTCATCAGCAGACACAATGCAGAAAATTAATTTTATTTCCCATGGTGGCAGAGTGGTGAGAGGTAGGGCAGAGTTGCTACAGTGCCTTTCAGGTAATTTTGTGCATAATTATTTTTCCATAAAGCTGTTGTCTTTCGTGATGACAGAAGTTGTTTAGTGGTTATAACTTCTAAATAAATCCATTAACAAAATCAGCTAAACATACAATTAGATTCTACAACATGACTCATACCATTATATGCCTTTATCCTGATTGTTTAAAGTAACTAGTAGGAAAGTAATCATCACTTACAATAGCTATTTCAAATCAATGACTTACTACAGTAAGAACTTACAATAAAGCTATGAACCATGTATGGGAACAAAGCCTGACTAACCTAAAGTTTGTTGAAAAACAAAATTAATAGTAAGTAGTGTATTTCATTTCATATCCAATGAAGAGCAAAGTATTGAATGATGGTGAAAGTGTTTCTTTCTTTTTTGGGTTGCCCTGCCTCGGTGGGAGACACCCAATGTACTGAAAAAAAACTTACACGCCAACAGTTTACAGCTACATGAGATAAGTTCCATATAAAAGTTAAAATCAAATTTTGCCTATACCTTGTATATGCCACCCTGCTTCATGGAACAATTCATAGGACCAAGGCATCAAATATACTGGTGGACAGACATCTGAATAATTGCAACTAATGCCACATAATTCCTGATTTTACTCCAAATTTTTTAAATAAAATGGGAACTTGAACAAAACAGCTTCAATATTGAATAAAAATTCTTAAATATCTCCAAAATGCCTTAGTGCTTAGAAAACCATATTGGTTTGAAACAACCTTGAATAATAAAAAATGCTAATATTTAGACAATCTAAATGGCGAGATCACTTAAAAAAAAAAAAAAGCTCTTACAGAATCATCTTTGCTCTTATGAATGACATATTTACCATTCTCCTGTTAATTTTCTGGTAGAATTTTGCTGCAACTTCTGGCACTCTAAATGTTATAATGCACTCCTGAGAACCCGGCACATAGTCAACACTCTGGAAAAAGACACAGTAACCTAAAGCATTTTTCTCATATGTGATTAACTTAAGTACTGTGAGGATAGATAAGTGTTTCTAAATACTGCAATAAGCATCTCATCCTCCCTAGGTAGTAAATGGCCATGGCATGAAAACATCTTTAACCCTTAAACTGTCCAAACGTAGATCTAGGTTCACGTGCGTAGTGCTCCAGCGTAGATCTATGTTCTTTTCACATAAGACAGCATGTGAAATAAAAAGTTCGGAGTGCTACGCACATGAACATAGATCTACATTTGGACAATTTAAGGGTTAATTCAAAATTCTATTATACAGAATTCTATTATACAGAATTCTATTACACAGAATTCCATTATTCAAAATTCTATTATTCAAAATTCTATTATTTAGAATTCTATTATTCAGAACTCTATTATTCAGAATTCTATTATACAGAATTCTATTATTCAGAATTCTATTATTCAGAATTCTATTATACAGAATTCTATTATACAGAATTCTATTATACAGAATTCTATTATACAGAATTCTATTATACAGAATTCTATTATACAGAATTCTATTATACAGAATTCTATTATACAGAATTCTATTATACAGAATTCTATTATACAAAATTCTACTATTCAGAATTCTATTATTCAGAAAAAATGAAACTTTAAATCTCTAAAATTCTAAATTCTTCAAGAGAGAAAATACTTTACAAAAAACTTTAATTAGGAAAAATTTTGAAGTTACAAATGTCAAAATAAAAGCAAAAATTCAGAATATCCTTAAGAAAAATCATCTGATTCTGAATTCACTGATACAGATTTGACTGAGTCATACAATATCAGGTATACATTACATTTACTGGTTTCTGAACCCATATACACACATTATTTTGAATAAGAGATTTTACTGTCCAGTATCAATAAAGTTTTCAAACAGTGTGCTTTTGTTAAACAATATTTAACTGATAAGTTATATAATATCAAATGCCTTGTGTGAGTGTGTCTGGCAGTAGTGGAGGCATGGTGTTTTATGACTTGGCATACTGTTGGAGTGTGAACAAAGTAACATTTATGACAAAATTCAGAGAAGCTAGTTAACTGGATTCAAGTCTTGGGAGTAGAAGGTACAGTGCCTTCACTCTGAAAGAGAGGTGGAGGGTGGGTGATACAGTTCGAAGAGTCATCTAAGCAGTAATAATAACTATTTGCCTCCACTCACTCCTATCTAATACACTCACACATGCCTGCTGAATGTCCATGCCCCTTGCACACAAAACCTCCTCAACCCCCTTCCTCCATCCTTTTCCAAGGATGTTCAGTGCCTGTATATACATACATACAGTGATTATGTGTGAATGATGGTGAAAGTGTTTCTTTTTTGAGTCACCTTGCCTCAGTGGGAGATGACCAAAGCATTAAACAAAAAATATTGGAACCTTAGTAATGTGAAACATTTGTACCTGTGTGTTCATGTTATTTTGTAAACAATGTATGTACTGATGACACTATTAGTGTGGGTATTGTCTTACATACAACAGGTAGATATATGTACATTGTGTATGATATAGATCTCATGGGCCACAAAAGTTACTGGAAAATGTAAAAAATAGAATACCCCAGAAAAAAAGAACAAAATAATAAAATAGAAAAAATGCGGAGTGCTCGGTTATCGAAATGTGGCAGTCAGAAGATCACTGACCTTAAACTTCACATCATTATATTTGGGTAAATACTGATCAAAAATTTTGACTTGTTTTATTACCACCAGGTAAGAAATCTTTTTTTTTTTTTTAATGTAGACACTGAGAGCAATATTAATTTTGGGGTTGTGGACAGAGAAAGGGTTAAAATAGCAACTTTCAGGTATTTTTCTAGGATGTTTTATAATTTTTTAGGCTATTTCTTGGTATCATTTGACAGAATGGAAGACTTACTACTGAAACAGATATGATTTCTGTGGGTTTCAAGACTGAAGTATATTGAAACTGGGCTCAAAGCAGCAGAAATATTCAATTTTTTTTATGTAAAGATGAATTCAAAATGGAAGGGAAGTGTAATATAGGAGAGGCCTAAGGAAATGATTTAATGAACACAGGAAATACTGTTTTAGTGTCTGGAATGTGCACTTTATAGGGTAGTTACAATAGCTGTATGTGTATACTAACAAAATAGCTAAAAATTTAATTAAATTGAGCAATGGAAATGGCTTAATATAAGACTCAAAGTGGGCAAAATTGCCAATGAGTAAATTGCACTCAGACTGCTAACTTTGTGCCTGTGTAATTTCATAAATTTTTCATCAAATTCCATACTCATGATATTATTACCTTCAGAAAACAATTTTCTAACATTTCACAAGAATTTTCTTTAAAAAAAAAAAAAAAGAAAAAAAAAGTGGACACTGAGAGCAATTTTAATTTTTTTGGAGTCCTGAGAATGAAGAGGTTAAATATAGCCAGATAAAGAAAAACAGGTGCTGCAGTAAATATATACATACCAAAGGTTGCCCTACCCCTGCATTAGCCACCATTTGATTGATATCTGACAAAGTGAGATTGGTTGGCAAATCACATAGCTGGACAGTGGGTAGGTCATGTCCATCAGCTGATTTAGACGAGGAGGTTGAACTGATTACCCGACGAATGCCACCACCTGGGCGATGCACAACTCCACCACTCACTGACTGCTGTGTGCCTGCTGTCACTATGCGCCGACCTGCTGTATTTGACTGAAAATGTATATCACTTTAGCATTATATATTAATATGGATTAGCTACTTTATTTTATTGCATGTATGTACTACAGACTCTCCTCACTTAACCCTTTCAGGGTTTCCGACGTACTAGTACGGCTTACACACCAGGGTTATTGACATACTAGTAGGCATAAATTCTAGCGCCTTCAAATCTAGTGAAAGATGGTAAGCCTACATATGAAAGTATGGGTCTATGTGGTCACTGTGCACAGTATAAAAAAAATCCTGCAGCACACAGTGCGTAATGAGAAAAAAAAAAACTTGGACCGTATTTTTGGTTTAAAACAGCGACTTTGCAGTGTATTTTCGTATGCTATTTATGGTTGTATTCTAGTTTTCCTGGTCTCATTTTATAGAATGGAAGACATATTACAGAAATTGAGATGATTTTGATTGGTTTCACAATGAAAAGTACCTTGAAATTGAGCTCAAAGTAGCAGAAATGTTCGATTTTTGCCAAAGTTCAAAAGTAAACAAATCATGCCACATGTCCAATACACGTCAACTGGTGAGTCTAATATTCTTTCACAAGTGCGCTGATATTATTTATACCATTTCTACACTAATGTAGTAGGCTGCATAACAGTAAATCTTCTATTTTTTTGGTGAGAATAAAAATTCGAAGTGGAAAGCAAAAGAAATGTAAGAGGGGCGTGGGGACATGACTAATGAACAGAGGAAATGTTATTTTAGTGCCAGGAATGTCCATCTTGTATATTCTGGACCCTATTTGGAAATTGGCATCTTTTGAAATTTGTGTGAAATTGGCAAAATTGCTACATTTAATGCATCTCCAGTGGTATTCAAATGAAGTAAAAAGAACTTTTTCCAAGACTGACATGAAGATTTTGTAAGTAAAGAGAAACTGTATGGATTAATGGAGAACAACTTTTTATTATACTGTTTTCAGGGGCAGGTGTACTTTGTCCTGAATTTAGAATTCTCACATGTTTGCATATTAATTAAAACATTTTTTATCTAATTCATGATCTAGACATAATAGCAGAAATTAAAATTTGGTCCTAACCTGTGATGACACATCTGAAGAAACAACTGTCCTCTTTACAAATTTAACTTGTTGCTGTTGTTGCTGCTGTTGCTGCTGTTGTTGCTGTTGCTGCTGCTGCTGCTGCTGCTGCTGCTGCTGTTGTGTGGACTGACTAATCTGTGGAGCATCCCTTAGCTTGATTTGAGATTGTGACTGCTGTTGCTGTTGTTGCTGAGAAACTGGCACCTTTCTTACTATTTGTCGCAAGGTCTTGACTACAGGTACACGTTGCTGCACAAAAAACAATGTTCACTTATTATACAAAGATTAAAACAGCCAATTTATCTAAGAGTAATTAGTGAGAAGAAATGTATACCACAAGCATTTTGCTTTTCAAATGTAAACTGGGAGATCAAGCATAATAAAGCACACCCATTCACATGTATCCTCCAGTAACATAATAACATACTTTAAGTCAATGTGGAAATGTTCTTCCACAATATTAAAGCCACTCACCATGATTTAGTGTATAACTGTACACAGTTGACATATCAAGTGAGGTTTGCATTTCCACATAAACTCATCCTCTGCCATAAAGAACTTTCATTTCAATCCCCAAACAGTCTCTTGGCTATATTTTTTCCATAAAATACATATTTATTTTATAGGCTATGATGATAAGATCACAATATCATGACTCTGACAAGTCACAAAAAGTAAAAAATTGGAGATAAAACTGAGATAACCTTTCAGTCCATTCTTGACCAAATGATGATGGTCCAGGACAAATAGATATATAATCCCATTATCATTTTCTACTTAGGAGTTAATTGTGAAATGTCATATAATCAATATGTAATAAATCAAGTCTTCTCCTTTTTTGGGCCACCCTGCCTTGGTGGGAAACAGCTGATGTGTTAACAAAAAAATATTGTTCAAATAATTAAATTTTCTGCAATATTTTCCTTTGCTTTATAAACAAACAACCTACACAAAGATATATCCATCTATCATTCAGTCACAACCTCTCATAAGTGACTGAGCTTTCTCTAAAAATACAGTATATAATTCAGAGTGAATGATGGTGAAAGTTTTCCTTTTTCGGGCCACCCTGCCTTGGTGGGAATCGGTCATTGTGCTAATAATAAATAATTCAGTTATAGTATGAATCATCGTTACTATTTTTTTTTTTTTTAACAAGTAAGCCATCTCCCACCGAGGCAGGGTGACTATCGTTACTATTATCATTATCAATATTAGCAGCATTAGAAAGCAGGTACCAAATCTGCATGGGTGATTATAGAAATAGGGTTGTCCATATTTTTTATATCTCAAAATGCATACACTCAAATTATAATTTTACATTTGATGGGAAAAATAGCAATGAAAAAATGATTATTGGCAATTACTAGTGTAGCTCTAAGACCAGGACTAAACTTGTGAGGTCTTGTCAGTTTAGTCTATCACATTATATTTAAAATTTTCTGCTGATGGTAGCACTTACTACTTTCTATAGTAATGTATTCCAATGTTCTACCACTCTGTTTAGAAAGAAAAAATTCTAGTATCCTTTTGGCAGCTCCTCTTCCTCAGTGTATAGTTATGGATTCATGTTCTGCCTATTAATGGAGTTAGAAAGTCTTCCTCAATTTTTTTTTGTATCTTCTCTATATGTATCTTTTTGTATGTATCCATTATGAGGCTTGGTGCAACCTCTCCAATTCAGTGAATTGATAACTGAATGTGATAAAAACAATGATTGAAAGAATAATGATAAACAAGTTTATTTTTTTGGGTCACATCATCATGGTGAGGGACGACTGGTGTTAAAAAATATATATACAAGAGCTGTGCTTGAACTGTGAAGGCAGGGTGGGACGCTGCACTCAGAGGGTAGTCTGTGATGCCAGCACACTTCTGGCAAGACAGCAATTAAATGAATGATGGTGAATGTGCTTTCTTCTTTGGATCACAATGCCTTACTAGAAGATGGTCACCAAGTTAAAAAATATACATACATAGATACACACCAAATCCTGTGTCACAAACCTACTGGCATTTTATGACAAGGTAACTGAAGTAAGACATGAGGGAGGGGTGGGTTGATTACATTTTCTTGGACTATAAGAAGGCCTCTGACACAGTTCCTCACAAGAGATTAGTGAAGAAGCTAGAGGATCAGGCATGTATAACAGGAAGGGCACTGCATGGATCAGAGAATACTTGACAGGGAGGCAAAACGAGTCATGGTACTTGATGAGGTATCACAGTGGGTGCCTGTGACGAGCAGGGTCCCACAGGGGTCAGTCCTGGGACCAGTGCTATTCTTGGAATATGTGAATGATGTGTCGGAAGGGATAGACTCAGAAGTGTCCCTGTTTGCAGATGATGTGAAGTTAATGAGGAGAATTAAATCAGATGCGGATCAGACAGGTCTACAGAGAGACCTGGACAGGCTGGACGCGTGGTCCAGCAACTGGCTCCTAGAATTTAACCCCGCTAAATGCAAAGTCATGAAGATCGGGAAAGGGCAAAGAAGACTGCAGACAGAGTATAGGCTAGGTGGCCAAACACTGCAAACCTCACTCAAGGAGAAAGATCTAGGGGTGAGTATAATACAGTGCATGTCACCAGAAGCACACATTAACCAGATAACTGCTTCGGCATATGGGCGCCAGGCAAACCTGAGAATAGGGTTCTGATACCTCAGTAAGGAATCATTCAAGACTCTATACACTGTGTACATCAGGCCCATACTGGAGCATGCAGCACCAGTTTGGAACCCACACCTGGTGAAGCATGTCAAGAAATTAGAGAAAGTGCAAAGGTTTGCAACAAGGCTGGTTCCAGAGCTAAGGGGAATGTCTTATGAAGAAAGGTTAAGGGAAATCGGTCTGATGACACTGGAGGACAGGAGGGTCAAGGGTGACATGATAACGGCATACAAAATACTGCATGGAGTAGATAAGGTGGACAGAGACAGGATGTTCCAGAGATGGGACACAGGAACAAGGGGCCACAATTGGAAGTTGAAGACTCAGATGAGTCAAAGGGATGTTAGGAAGTATTTCTTTAGCCACAGAGTTGTTAGGAAGTGGAATAGTCTGGCAAGTGATGTAGTGGAGGCAGGAACCATACATAGTTTTAAGACGAGGTATGATAAAGCTCATGGAGCAGGGAGAGGGAGGACCCAGTAGCGGTAAGTGAAGAGGCGGGGCCAGGAGCCGAGTCTCGACCCCTGCAACCACAATTAGGCGAGTACAAATTTAAGCAACTGTACACTATGTATATATAAAAAATAAAAAGGCACCGAAACATCATCATAAGCTTCCCTCTCCTATGTGCGAGTTACTTATGTACTATGTACACATCATTTTCATACAAGCAGAGACAAGTGGGTTTTGGGATTCTACCTGCTATTGGAGCATGTGCAGGGTAACATTATGAAGATATCTGAGGAAACCAGTTGGCAGGACTTAAGAGTTCTGTAGGTAAGAAATACACTGCTTACACTCTGAAAGATGGGCAAGGATGTTGCTGTTCCAAGGGTCAGTTGAACTGTAATGTTCATGAACTTTTAGCAAGATAGCTACTGAGTAATGGTGAATGTGTTTCCTTCTTTGGGTCACCCTACCTTTGTGGGAAATGGCCAATGTGCAAAAAAATTTGGTATACTATACATGTGTGGTGTGAATATAATGCAAAGAATCCATAGTTTGGAGATTAGAAGGTGTGGGATTACCAAAACTATTATCCAGGGGGCTAAAGAGGGGTTATTGAGATGATTTGGACATGAAGAGAGGAAGAAACGAAATGACTTCGAATGTATAAATCTGTAATGGAGGGAAGCTGGGATAGGGGTCGGCCTAGGAAAGGTTGGAGGGAGGGGGTAAAGGAGGTTTTGTGTGTGAGGGGCTTTGACTTCCAGCAAGCGTGCGTGAGCGTGTTAGATTGGAGCAAATGGAGACAGATGGTTTTTAGGATTTGACGTGCTGTTAGAATGTAAGCAAGGTAACATTTATGAAGGGATTCAGGGAAACTGGCATAATCCTGGAGATGGGAAATACAGTGCCAGCACTCTGAAGAAGGGATGTTAATGTTGTTGTTGTACAACTGTAGTGTCAGCATGCCTCTGGCAAGAGAGTGATGGAGTGAATGATGATGAGATTTTTTTTTTTTTTGGGGGGGGGGGGGGCCACCCTACCTTGGTGGGAAACAGCAGATGTGTTAATAAAAAATAATATAAAATAATATATGTTATACTCACTTGCTGTTGATTAAATAAAGATGTTGGATTATCCATTCCATCTGTGACTAAGTCGCTGATATCAAATTCTGTTATTGGTGGGCCAATCTGGTTACCTTCTTCATCAACAGGAATCTAATAGTAAAAAAACAAACAAGGATATTAAAATCATAAAATAATATGTCTACACTATGATGTTCCTATGCAACTATCATTAAAAGTTCTACATACGTAGCACATTATTTACCTTACCAGTACTGCATACAAAAAAGAAGGGGTGTTCAACCCTTCAAATACAGTGGACCCCCGACTAACGATATTATTTCAATCCAGAAGTCTGATCGGGTACCGTTATAGACCGAATTTGTTCCCATAAGGAATACTGTGAATTAGATTAGTCCGTTTCAGACCCCCAAAAATACACCTACAAAAGCACTTACAAAAATACACTTACATAATTGGTCAAGTTGGGAGCTGATCGTTAGTCGGGGGTCCACTGTATGGGTAAAGTACCCCACAATCTCAATGGAATTTTACATCACTATCAGTGATGTAAAGGCAAGAAACTATGTGCAGCACCATTGTTAAGCCCTCTTTTTATACATATACTGAACTATATTACAGTATATTGTATAACTCTTAAATGACTGATAACATCATTATAAATATAAAACCCTATCATAGGACAATTAACCACATTTTTAGTAAAAAGAGACGAGAATTTTTTTTGACCAACAAGCCATACCATTCTAGGTGGTATGTTCACAAATGGGTAGCAAACGCCAGCTCCATGACTGACCAAAATTAAGAAGTGAAAATCCAGTTTCACGTAGGAAGGTCAAAGGGAACAACAGTAGATCTTTAAACAAATTATTCACAATACAGCTGTACATACAAAATCCTTTGAAACAAATAATAAATTATATATAGACAAACAAGTAAAAACCCAAACTAAGAATAAAACAAAAATGGCATCAAGATAGATCAGAATTCAAGTGCATTATTTTTCCACGTACATTGCATTAAGATTACGGTGTATGGTAAATTAAGTGTCTGGCAAGGATTACACGAGTTTAAAACATTTCCTGCAAATAAAATACGCATTCAATAATTACTTCACAAAGCTACATTGACATCAGGTCTGTATTTTCACCTCTTTAACTCAAGCTACACATCACCATCTTAACAAAAATATCATTCTGAACCTGAACATATATTCTACCTCCTCACCAGTGCCACTGCTTTATTTACCATTTCTTAATTGATGTACTGTATTTTACACGACACTTCTTATATTCAATGATATTTTTCTATTAGGTTATTTTTCTAAATATACTATATTACAGTATTTTATCATTACCTAGCATATCTAAGGTTTATGAAAACTCGGCAAATATTAAAAATGAATCTGTAGCTACTGTAATTCGCTTAACAGCTAGATATGTAGAAGAAAAATAATTGCCAATAAAGTATTATGTTCAAGCAAACCTTTGCAGTTATCTAAGAGTTCCACAGCTGTTGACTTTAAATAGAACCTTTACAAGGGAAGAAGTAAATATTAATAGTGTACCTATCAGTAATTTATATATGGCTTTCCTTACCTTTTTAACAGACACTACATCGCCCTTTATGTTCTTTCGAGTGATTCTACGAAATTTCCGTGAAATTTTCCCAGTCTGTCTTTGAACTGTCTGGATTTTTTGTCCAACTTGGTTATGAGTAACAGATGTTACTGGCTCTTGTGGAGATGACTGCATTACTTTAACCTGAGAAGAATATGAGAGGAGCATGAACTAAACCAACTTCACAGTAGTAATAATGGTAGAATTACCAACAAAAACTTAGGTACATGGACACGGATACAACTAATATGACATTTTATTGTGGCAATATCTTGCCAAAACAATGCCACAACAGACTGTCACATTAGCTGCATCTGTGTTCATTTGACTTGACAGTATTATCATTTTAATTCAGCAATGCTTTTGATACAGCAATTAAACAAAAAACAATAAAAAGATGCAGAATAAATTGACAATCATTATAAACCCAATCAGGCAAACTTTTTTATTGTAATTATTTAATGCGTACTGACAAGTACGCAGTGTACTCACCTAGTTGTGGTTGCAGGGGTCGAGTCATAGCTCCTGGCCCTGCCTCTTCACTGGTCGCTACTGGGTCACTCTCCCTGAACCATGAGCTTTATGATACCTCTGCTTAAAGCTATGAATGGATCCTGCCTCCACTACATCACTTCCCAAACTATTCCACTTAATGACTACTCTGTGACTGAAGAAATACTTCCTAACATCCCTGTGATTCATCTGTCTTCAACTTCCAACTGTGTCCCCTTGTTGCTGTGTCCCATCTCTGGAACATCCTTTCTTTGTCCACCATGTCAATTCCTCTCAGTATTTTATATGTCATTATCATATCCCATCTCTCCTGTCCTCCAGAGTCGTCAGGTCAATTTCCCTTAACCTCTCCTCGTGGGGCATATCCCTTAGCTCTGGGACTAGTTTTGTTGCAAACCTTTGCACTTCCTCTAGTTCCTTTACGTGCTTGGCTAGGTGTGGGTTCCAAACTGGTGCCGCATACTCCAATATGGGCCTAACGTACACAGTGTACAGGGTCCTGAACGATTCCTTAAGATGGTGGAATGCTGTTCTTAGGTTTGCTAGGCGCCCATATGCTGCAGAGTTATTTGGTTGATGTGAGCCTCAGGAGATGTGCCTGGTGTTATATTCACTCCAAAATCTTTTTTCTTGAGTGAGGTTTGTAGTCTCTGGCCCCCTAGACTGTACTCCGTCTGTGGTCTTCTTTGCCCTTCCGTAATCTTCATGACTTTGCACTTGGTGGGGTTGAACTTCAGGAGCCAATTTCTGGACCAGGTCTGCAGCCTGTCCAGATCCCTTTGTAGTTCTGCCTGGTCTTCATCCGAATGAATTCTTCTCATCAACTTCACATCATCTGCAAACAGGGATACTTTGGAGTCTATTCCTTCTGTCATGTCATTCACAAATACCAGAAACAGCACTAGTCCTGGGACTGATCCCTGTGGGACCCCACTCATCACAGGTGCCCACTCTGACACCTCACCATGTACCATGACTCGCTGCTGTCTTCCTGACAAATATTCCCTGATCCATTGTAGTGCCTTCCCTGTTATCCCTGACTGGTCCTCCAGTTTTTGCACTAATCTCTTGCGTGTAGCAGTCAAATGCCTTCTTACAGTCCAAGAAAATGCAATCGACCCACCCCTCTCTCTCGTCTTACTGCCGTCACTGTGTCGTAGAACTCCAGTAGGTTTGTAACACAGGATTTCCCATCCCTGAAACCATGTTGGCTGCTGTTGATGAAATCATTCCTTTCTAGGCGTTCCACCACTCTTCTGCTAATCTTCTCCATGACTTTGCATACTATACATGTCAGTGACACTAGTCTGTAGTTTAGTGCTTTATGTCTGTCTCCTTTTTTAAAAATTTTGACTACATTTGCTGTCTTCCATACCTCAGATAATCTCCCTGTTTCGATAGATGTGTTGAATATTGTTGTTAAGGGTACACATAGTGCCTCTGTTCCCTCTCTCAGGACCCATGGAGAGAGGTTATCCGGCCCCATTGCCTTTGAGGTACCTAGCTCACTCAGAAGCCTCTTCACTTCTTCCTCGGTATTTATGTAATGTTTGTCTTTGTGCCAATTTCACATTCTATGTTCTGAAGCTTCCACACACAGCATCAACAGCCAATGTAGCAGCACCTTACAAACATTGTTACTAACAATTACATAATTTGGTGTGCGGCGCTCATTTAATTGCCTACATTTTAACTACTGACATTGTAATTAACATACCTATTGATGGTTACAGGAGCAAATCTATGCTTTAAATTCTTTTGTCTTTCATTACAGTACTCATATTCCTCAGCTCTAGTTATTTTGCAGCACCCCATTTGATACTTATTTTTATCCCAATAGCCCACTACTGCTTAATATACAAAAATTTCCTAATATATTACCTGAAGATGATGAGGATTGTGGTTGAAAGACAGGCGTCCAGCTAGTCTGCTTCTAACACCCTTGTTTATCCCTATACCTTCAGAGTTATGTTGATCTTGATAATCTTCATAACCTTCACTGTACTCTTCTTGTTGATACTGATTTGGATATTCATCATCATACTGCTGGTGCTTTTGATAATTACTGCTATACCCTTCAGAAGTTGCATTGTATTCTGGATACTGGCCATACACACCCTGATATATATTATCTGTATCTACATTTTGGCCCTCCTGGTAATAATCATCATCGTAAGATTCACTGGAGCCTTTACTGTAATCTGTGTATGATTGTGAACGATTATCCCAAGATGGAGGAGGTTCATTATATTGGTGTTCAGTATTATAATCATGATTACCACTTTCATCATGAGTGAGAACAGGAGGTGGACCTCTTGGGGGAAATGTATCAAGTTGGGCTGGGTATTGATCATGATGAGTAACTGATGGTCTAGGATGAAACTCTGGAGGAGGGACGTGTGTGTTGTGGGGAGCAGTGTGGGAGGGCCTAATAGGGCTCTGAATGTGGGGTGGAGGTCCATGTTGTTGTGGGGGAGGGAGACTAGGCTGTACGTTAGAATGGAGCTGCAAATCAGATGGGTGCTGATGTGATGGTGGTGGATGGTGGTGTTGTGGTTCAATATGTTGATGATGTTGAGGCTGATGATGCTGCTGGGATGGTGGGGGCTGGAGATGATGTGCTGGGGGAGGCTGGGAGTGGAGAGGGGGCTGGCTATGAAGTGGTGGTGGTGGTTGATGTGGTAATGGTTGATGAGGTGGTGGTTGATGAGGTGGTGGCAAGTGACGCTGCAGTGGGGGCCCATGCTGGTGAGGTGACAAATCCTGTGGTGGACCTTGATGAAAGTGGTGTCCTGGTTGATGCTGTTGATTAAATTGTTGATGCCGATGAGACTCTTGTGAATACACAGAATCTGTGTTACTCGGTGGAGGTTCACTGAATGTTGGAGGTGGTAACCTCATTTGATATCCAGTGTTATCACGTGGTCGATTCATC